ATAAATTCATCTCTTACTTCACACTTTAGATTGAACAATCAATGGAGTCCGAATACAAATTCAAAGAAGGATGATATGAGTATATCTCATACCCCTCTACAGTGAGAAGTTGGATATATGTTATTGTTTGTACAAGACTAGATATAGCTCACGCCGTTGGGATTGTCAATCGGTTTCTTTCAAATCAAAGAAGAGAACATTAGCAGACAATGAAGTGAATTTTGAGATATCTTCGTGGGGCTTCTAGTTTGAGAATTATGTTTTGGATGTGATAAACCTTTGTTGGTTGATTAAATAGATTCTGACATATTTGGAGATACGGATTCTCATAAATTGATAACACGTATTTCGGGTGATATTTTGATATAGGATGTCTAGCGTATTTCACTCGATTTTATATATTTGTAGACATTCTAGGACACATTTGGCTTCAATATTGGTTGGTTGTGTTTTTTGGTGTTTAAACAGGAATCCATACATAAAGAGAGAAAAATGAGTCGAAAACATGGAATACGGAACATCACGGACGAACCGGGAACATTTGGAGTGTCTCTAGGAAAAATGTGAAGCTCAGAAAATGTCAGATCTTGCAAGTCCAATAACTTTCACTCTACAAGTCCAAATTTACATCATTGGAAAGCTCTCTTCGATATCTACGCATTGACGCCAAGATCACCCAAATCCGATGTTGGAGCAGGAAGTTATGAGCAAATTTGTGAAGCCCGCCAAAACTGTTAAGTGACACGATCGTGTCACTTTCAGTCACAGATCGAGTCACTTACCAGATTTTGGAAATATTCCGAATTTTGACCCAGAAAAAGAAGGATTAACTAGGGTTAGCCCCCAAGGTCGAAAATATTCAGACTTTTCACAGAAAACACACCCTAGAGTACACAAGAAGAGGGGGATTATCAAGAGGCAAGAGATCGGAGTAGAAGACGAAGATTACAAAGCCGGAAAAATCGACTAAGCATTCTTCCTTTCTTCTATTTTATGATGTTTTGTGTTATTGATATGAACCATAATATCTCGATGTTTAGCGAGTAGTCCCATAACTGTAGGTTAGGGATTTGCTATGTAAGGATCTTTGGTTTTTATTTCCAAACTTTGTGGATCTATTTATTCCATTCAGTTTATTGAATTGTTCTTAATGCTTTTGATCTCGTTGGCCACTTGGTTGAATGAACTTAGGGTTTTAATTCACATAGACATATGTGATTCTAACCTGGAACTAATTCAATAAATAGAACATGTATCACATCGGGAGATGGGTATTTGTCTAGGAATTATGATAGCGTTCGTTTATGCATCCAGAGTTTTAGACTATTGAATCGGGAGATTAGTAGGATTAAACCTGGATAGTGAGATTAGACTTGGAAGAGTTGATCTCTACCTTAGAGCTTGAATTCCCTGGAATGGATAGATAAACCACTAAGTTTACATATTTTGAAAGATCCTTGCATGTAAAGCAATCCCGAAGCCTGCGGTGTTCATCATCCATAGTTTATAGTCGTTTTATCATTTGCTTTGCTACATTCCCACACTCATATTATTTTCTTTGGATCTAGATTTGGATTTAGATTTGATTCAGTTGTCTACTTGTCCCTAGGGGTGGGCGTTTTGGGAAACGGTTCGAGTTCGGGACGGAATAGATCGGTTCGGTTTTTTCGGGTTTACAAAAATTGGTACCAATCGGGTTTTTTATTGTATTCGGTTCTGTTCGGTTTCGGTATCGGTTCGGTTTCAGGTTTTATTAAAAAAATAATATATTTCCTTTAAAAATATTCGATTTTTCAGGATTTTTAAATTTCGGTTCGGTTCGGTTCGGTTCCGGAAAAATTCGGTTCTCCAAAAATGATACCGTTCGGGAAATAATAGCGGTTTCGGATCAGGAAAAATACCGTTTTAACGGTTCGGTTCGGTCCGGTTCCGAAGAACCGAACCGAAACGCCCAGCCCTACTTGTCCCTGTGTTCGACCCTAACTACTACATACGATCCGTACACTTGCGGTTAATTATTGAGTCTAGGAATATTATCACTTGACCAAATTTATACACCTAGATTGACGACATCAGAAATCTATATCAGGTTATGATGACATGTATATATTAGTATATTTTTGTATAATATATACATTGTATTTTACGATATTTATATGTTTATAGGTTTTACCGTGTACAATTTTACTCCGATTTCGATATTTCTATATTTTGTAGGAAAGAGCGGAAAACGAGTTTCATCGAAATATTTTATCAAACGAAAATGAATGAGCGCGAAAATCGTTATACAAAAAAAATAATGGCGCTATCGTTACACATGATAACACCATCGTGTGTGAATATAATATAATATATATGTATGTGTTAGTGCGTAGTATATATTATACGTAAGTATATATGTAAATATATATAATATGTATATATATGTATATTATGCATATGTATTAATAAAAATATATTTAAATATTTATAAACATATGTACGATATATATGTGTATATATAATATATATCTGTATAAATATATGTATATATGTGTCGATATAATATATGTATAATATAGGAATGTTTGTATATATATATATATTATGAATATATGTATGATATACGTAATATGTGCATGTATATATATTATAAATGTATGTATAATATATGTATACACGTATATATATTAGTACGTGTATATATTATATGCATATATTTATAATAGTATATATATATATATTATACAATTATATATGAATATATACACATATACAGATATGAAAATGCATATGTATACATTTACCGAGCATAGAAATATAATTTTATATATATATAAAGAACATATATATGCATTTATATAACTGATATATTTATATATATGTAAACTTATTATATATATTAATAGATAATATAATGTAAATATCTATATGATAATGCGCTCGATTTGCGCAATTGTCTTGTAGTGAACGTATTATATATATCTATATTTGTATATAATATATAGTATATGTATATATATATATAAAAGTGATGATGATAAGAATTAACTGCCATCTCTGTCTTTTTCCTTTGTCCATAGCGACAAATTGTCCGTAGTTCGCGTCACTCAAACGATAGAGAAAACAACCACTACAAAAAACACTCATATTTCCGACGGAAAAACCCGTCGCACTAAAGAGGAAATTCCGTCGGTATATTCGGTTTACGACGGACATCGACGGAATAAGTTCCGTCCGTTAATGGTTGTCGCAAACACATCCCGGTCGTGCATCCGTCGCAAGGAAAAACCTGTCGTAAGTCAGTCGTTTTTAGCGACGGAATATTCCGTCGGCAAAAGCGACGGACTAACCGTCGCAATCTAGTCGATATGACCGACGAAAACTCCGTCGTTTTTCCATGGTAAACGCGACGGAAATTCCGTCGTTCAGTCGTCGCACTATCCGACGGAACCTCCGTCGTAATTCCGTCGGATAGTGCGACGGATCTTCCATCGCATACTAGTCGCAAAGAGGGACGGGAGGATTGGTCAGATAATAGTCGCAAATTAGTGACGGTTTATAACGACGGAGTTATCTGTGACAACCCAGAGTACCGTAGGAGGGCGGAGAGTGATCGCCGGTGCAGAGGCACGGACAAGGGGCGGCTCCTGACGAGCTTCTGGGTAGGAGGGTACAGGGATGAATCGAACACATCGGAATGAGAGAGATCCGAGGGCTGTATAGATATGGGACTATACAGTCTAAGATAACATAAAAGAATTAGTTGAGCTACTCATAGCAACAAAGGTGCATCTACCTTTTTGGTTGACTATCACAAGAGAACTCCAAAGTTAAGCGTGCTGACTCTGGAGCAATCTCAAGATGGGTGACCTACTGGGAAGTGTCTCGGTATGCGTGCGAGTGAGGACAAAACACGATGAAAGGTCCCGGGTTGCTGTGTGGGGGCAGTTTCGACAATTCGTAGCGGCCTCGGGTCGTTACATTATCCGTCGGTATATTACAGAGACGGGTTTTCCGTCGCTAATAGCTATGGAAAGCGACGGAAGATTTCCGTAGGATTATTCCTTATGCGACGGATTATTCTGTCGCATAAGGAATTTTATTCGAAAAAAAATAAAAAAATTCGTTTAAAAAAAATAATTATACATTAGAAAATTGTTTTACATATTACAAATTGAAAAAAAAAACCGAAATTGTTTTATATATTACAAAATTGAAATCTAACGAAATAAATTGTCCGGAAAATCATCGAGATTTTGGGGATGTTGCTCGTCTTGATGAACTGATGGATCGGGATTGACGGCGGGACTCGGAGCAGACGAACCGATGGAATCGGTCGGAGGCATAAAACGTTGCATCATCTCCTCTAACCGAGCGATCTTCGCCTGAGCTGCATCAAACTGAGCAATCTTCTCCCGAGCAGGTACAAGTTCCGCAGAAGTCTCATCGTGTTTTCTCTTCAGCTCCTCGACTTCACGCGTCAGAGATACATGACGTACCACAGACGACGAAGATGCGTCACCACCCCCGAGCTGACTCGCCAACGCACCAATCCCGTAAATCCGACCTTTCGCATCGGGAGGAACGACCTTCAAAACAATATGTAAATAATATTTAAACTCTAACCTGTTATATTATTTTAAATACAAAAATTACCTCGAGATACAAGCTGTTGATTTCCTGCGGAGTCAATTGCGTTGAACCGCTGCTCTCGTCCATCGTCATTCGATCGGTAATCTTCGATTGAATGACCTCTTCAATTTCTTGGGCACGATGATCTACGTACGTCCCATCCGATCGACGATGCGTGTCTTGTAAGACGCGCAGAGCAGACGGTTGAACGTCTTCTTTCTCGGCCTAAAAAAGTTATACAAAAATATTAGTAAAATTAAAAAACAAATAAATCAATTTTCACAAAATACTTGTTTAGGCCGAGAAAGAAGGCGTTCAACCGTCTGCTCTGCGTGTCTTACAAGACCTTCAAAACAATATGTACAAGACACGCATCGTCGATCGGATGGGACGTACGTAGATCATCGTGCCCAAGAAATTGAAGAGGCCATTCAATCGAAGATTACCGATCGAATGACGATGGACGAGAGCAGCGGTTCAACGCAATTGACTCCGCAGGAAATCAACAGCTTGTATCTCGAGGTAATTTTTGTATTTAAAATAATATAACAGGTTAGAGTTTAAATATTATTTACATATTGTTTTGAAGGTCGTTCCTCCCGATGCGAAAGGTCGGATTTACGGGATTGGTGCGTTGGCGAGTCAGCTCGGGGGTGGTGACGCATCTTCGTCGTCTGTGGTACGTCATGTATCTCTGACGCGTGAAGTCGAGGAGCTGAAGAGAAAACACGAGGAGACTTCTGCGGAACTTGTAGCTGCTCGGGAGAAGATTGCTCAGTTTGATGCTCATCAGATATTTGATGACCATAAGTATTATATACTTCATCATCATAAACCCTGACACATACAGTAAAAATATTATTTACGTAGGAGAGTATATATATTCTCTCTATACAGTAATTTGTGTAATGTACTAACCTCTCAAACGGTAGAATATATTCACAATTCAACAATACAT